GAGCGTCGGGTCTTGGAGCGGGAAGGCCTCGATGAGGAGCGTCGCCGCGTTGCGCCGCACGTGCGGGTTCGCAACCTTGAGCGCGCGCCACAGGATGGGCTCGTACAGCCGCAGCAGCATCGAGTCGACGCCGCGCTGCCGCTTTTGCGCGTGCGTGTACGCCAGCACCTGCCGCAGCGCGGTCGCCATGTTGGCGCTCGCCGCGTGCACCGCGTGGAACATCAGGTCCTGCAGGCAGCCCTCCTCCAGCCGCTCGAGGTAGGCGCCTGCTCACACCACCCAACCGTCAACAGACGCTGCTCCCGCCCCGAGCCCCGCCGCTCGTGGAGGAAGAAGAGGCGCCCGACGCAGCGCGCCACGCCCGAAAGTAAATCTCGCCGTAGAGATCGCGCAGCGACTTGCGGCAGACCGGGATCTGCGCCTTGATGGCGCGGTGCAGCTCCGCGATGAAGGGCGGGTGCAGGCCTGCGCGCGCGGCGGAAGGTGCGACGCCCGCCAGCCTCTCGCCCGCCAGCCTCTCGGCCGGCGCAGGGCTCTCTCGGAGGAAGAGCGGAGCGCAGAGGTGCCCCGACGACGGGCGAGACGCGCAGGGGAGATGGAGGGGAGAGAGAGAGCCGAGAGAGAGAGAGAGAGAGAGAGAGCCGAGACATCCGAGGCACATCCGAGCTTCGCCGGGCGGCGAGCTGCTCACCGAAGAGGTAGACGAGCAGCTTGCGTCCCTCGGCGCACCGCAGCACGAGCGGCTTGATCATGCAGTGCAGCAGCAGCCGCTTGAGCGCCGCGACCGACGGGTCCGCGTAGTCGAGCACGCCGAGCGCCTGCGGGGGGGGAGCGGGAGGCGGCCGGGACGTCGCGACCCGCCGCGGCCGCGAGAGGCGGGAGCGGGTGCGGGAGAGGGGCGGAGGCGGGGGTGGAGGCGTGGGCGGGAGAGGCGAGGGAGGCGCGACGGCGGACCGAGCGAAGAGCCCAGAGGCGCTTGACGTCGGCGGCGGTGGCGGCCTCGTGCAGGGCGGAGACGAGGAGGTACGAGATCGTCTGAGGCACCAGCTCGTCCCGCCCCGGCCGCTCCGCCAGCCACCACGACTCGCAGAGCTCGACGATGGCGCCCTGCAGCGTTGACGCGCGCGGGTCGTGCAGGTCAAAGATGATGTCGTGCAGCGCCTCTGCCACCGCCTGCGGCCGGGGGGCGGACGGAGCGGTGAGGCGCTCTCGCCGAGCACGCCCGGCGCGACATCGCGGCTCCTCTCCCCGCAGAGGCGAGGGGGAGGGGGCTGCGCGCTCCTGCAGCTTCTCCGGGATGCCAAAGGATGGCTCGACGGCGATGGCGCGAGCGATGGCCGCCGCGGCGGCGAGGATCCCGAGCGCGCCCTCGACGCTCTCGCCGCTGACCGCGCTGCTCCCCTCGGGGGCCGCGTCGAAGGCCGGAGCCGCCGCGGCGAGCGCCGCATGCACATGCACAGCGAGCGCCTCGGAGAGGCGCTCGACCTCGTGGGCGGAGAAGCCCTGCAGGCTCTCGCCCGCTGTCGGGGCGAGCTCGACGAGCTTGGACGCCGACGACTCGAGCTCCAAGAGGAGCGCCTCGGCGCGGTTCATGAAGCGAAAAGCCGGTAGAACACCGCAGTCGAAGGGCGGTACCGGAAAAAGAATAAGGAACGGTCCCGGCGAGCGTGGAATAGGACCGCCGCAAGCGGCGTGGCGTGGAGCGGTTGAGCGTCCCTCCGGGGGCCCCTCTGCGCCGGGGAGGCGTTGTTGGCGGCTAGGACGCAAGCGTCCGTCGCCGTTTTCAAACTCGGGGCCCACTCCGCTACGCTCCGACCCGAATTTGGAGGGCCAGGGCCATGAAATTTAAGGTGTTGCTGCGCAAAAGGGGTGGCGCGCGGGCGCGCGCGGCGGCGGGCGTCGAGCGCGGAGCGGCAAACACAATGACGTCGGAAAGCTCTGCATCAAGTACATTGTGAGTCTTGCTGCTTGATTGGCGGCAGGTGTTGGAGGCCGAGTTCGCTTCGCACCGCACGGATCGTGTGTGGCGCGGGCAGGTAGCAGCTATCGATGGCGTCATCTTCAAGATGGTCAACCCCGGCTGCGCTGTGCCCAACCCCGGCGCGTACTTTGTGGCGCGAAAGGACGAGTTTGGCCTGCTCTGCATCGCCACGTGCGACTACCACCGGCGCTTCCTGTCGTACGACATCAGCCAGGCGTCAACTACGCATGACTCAATGGCGCACGCTGCCTCGGAGCTGGGCAAGCTGCTCGCCTCCGGCCGGCTGCACCCCGATTTTTTCATTAATGGCGACTCGGCGTTTACACGGGCGCCACACATGGTTATCCCGGGGGGAGGCGACGCGTACGACTATGTGCAGTCCAGCACACGCATGCCCATCGAGTGTGCCTTTGGCATCCTCGTGCGCCGCTGGGGTGTCCTCTGGCGCCCCCTGTCTGTGCGGTTTGATAGGCGCGCTCCGCTCATCGGCGCGTGCATGCGGCTGCACAATCTGTGCATCGACGAGCGCATCACCGAAGAGACCTGCTTCAAGAACGGCCTCGGCGAGGTCCAGCCAGGCCGCTGGGAGCGCGTGCCCAAGTTCGACCGGGAGGGGCGACCCGTGGAGTACCTCGACACGGCTGCCGCAAATGCACCTCCTCCCGAGCCTCGCATGCGCCGCGCTGTTGCTGCGGACGCGGGGAAACGGCGTCAGGAGGCACTCGCTCAGGCGATCCGCAACGCGGGCATTGCCCGGCCTGCGCTGCAGCACGGTCTGCGCAAGAAGAAGCGCCGCCGGCGCGCAGCCGTTGCAGCCCGCTCGTAGGTTGTGTCCTGTGTGCGAGGTCGCGAGCCACCAAGAAGCAAGATGCACACCTGCGCGCGTCGGGCGCGGGAGAGAGTGCGATCGGTCGCCCGTCGCTCGAGCCGCACGCGGGAGTGACCAGAATACTCGCCGGATGGCCCATTTAGGGCCGCGAGCCTGCGGCGAGAGGGGCAAAGGTGCGGGAGGTTCCTCGTGATGGGTTGCTCGAGAGCGGCACAATCGGCCCTGGGCTGACCCTGGGGACGGATCAGGGCGGCACTCCACACGAGAGCGGGTTCGGCACGCCTCGGGCTGTCGCAGGCCCTCGCTGCGGCGCGCCTCGGGCTGTCGCCGGTCCTCGCTTCGACTGCCATGCCTCGGCGCTACCGAATGCGCTTACGCAAGCAAGCCACAGCGTGCGGGAGGAAGGGGCACATGCTGGCGCACCCCACGCCCGATCACGGCGCCGCGAGGAGCGAGTACGGCGGAGACGGCTGGTCCCGACCAGGGCGAGCGCGATTCCACCCAGGCAGGCCCGCGGACCCACATCGCGCGAAGGGCCGAGGGGACGGAAGTTTATTAGCTATAGATGTCGCCGCGAACTATAGGATTAGATTGGCGCGAACTGCCGTCTGTCAGTAGTGGAGGCGGACGGATGAAAAAGAAATAGGTCAAGATATCCCAGAAAGAGAAGCAGCGCGCAATCCACCTGAATAAAATAAAAACGGACACCGCCAAAGCCCCCACTCGCACTCTAGCTAGCAGGCGCCGAGGCCGCAGCGCGCGTTGGAGGCGTGGTGTGCCGCCGCCTCCCGCGCGATCTCGCTATCGCTATCCTCCTCCTCACTCTCCTCACCCTCCTCCCCACTCTCCTCCCCACTCTCCTCCTCCGCGGCGGCGGTGGTGGTGGAGGGAGGCTGCTGCTCAGCAGAGGGCGCAGCACGCGCGCAGCGGGCGGGTCGACAAAGGTCGGCTCGGGCATATTTGGGTCTCGATATCGGACCCACAAGAGCTAACCGAAGTGGCAAAAACTGGCTCTAACGCACACACCGCGACAGCCCCGCAAGGCGCGCGATACACACAGCTAGAAGTCAGTCACCATCCTCACGAGGCGGGGGGTGCGTCACAGAACACCGAGTCCATAAAGCTAAGCTCCTCCTCGCCTTCAGGCTCAGGAAGCTGCATCGACACCGGCCCATCAGCGGTTAGAGGGGGGAGATCTAGAGGATCATCTGAGCTGGAGCTAGCGGCGGCGGCCGAGCTAGCGGCGGCGGCCGGGGTGCGAACCGGCGGCATCACTGATTCAGGCTTGAACCCGGGCTGCTGGTAGGGCAGAGTGATGCCGTTGGCAGCGGCGCGCTCCTCAGCCCAAGACAGGAGCTCTTCAAAGCGGTTGACTCGGGGCAGTAGGGCAGCTATGGGCACATGATCTCTAACCCCAAAAAGCCATGTGCCCTCGTCTGGGCGCCTGAAGATGGAAAAGGAGCCAGTCGGGTTGCTAGCGTGCACATCTGGTAGCTGTGTGTAGCCGGCGACAACACGCGGCGGTGGCGGCAGCGGCGGTGGCGTTGGCAGCGGCGATGGTGGAGGCACAGGACCGCACTCACTGTCCCACCGCCATCCGGTCGGAAGCTGGTAGTCGCCCCGCATCTCGACTACCCGCAGTGCAGCATCCAAAGGCGTCTGAAAAAAGTCGAGGTTCTCTCTGAGATGATAAATGTCTTCTGCAGCATGATGGTCCATCACAAAGTAGTCGCCATATTCCCACTTGCCTAGGAATGTCTGCGCAGGCTCGAGGTCCCAGTTAAACTTCCGGTGTTGAAACCCTTCGTAGCCAACTACGCGGTTGGTGCTGTGACAGTAGCGGACATGAAGACGTACCGGACCGTCCAGCCCAGCGAGCCAGTCGTGCGACGCTTTCAGTTCTGCAAGCCTGCGATCCTCCTGGTCCTTAGGCGTCTCAGGGTCCTCCTCACACGAGCCATCGCAACTCGCGCGGAAGTAGCAGTGGCAGAAGCGCGGTCGTTGCGCGGTGGCTCGGCGCAGGACAAGCGCATCCTCAATAGCATCGGCATCTGCCTCGACCCAAATTCCGGGTTTGGGCAGATTTGGCTCGAGAGCGTGGGCAGCATCGCGCGCAACCCTCTCTGCTGTGGGACGATACGGTGCAGGTAGGTTAGTGTCTGTCTCGGGCCACGCAGGCGGCGGCTCACCCCACTTGTGTCGCCAGAGAGAGCCGTGCCCGCCACGCGCCAGCGAGTGGTCACCCACTTCGCCCGGATCAAACATGCCATCCTGGCGTCGGCAGAGGTGATCAGTAAATTCGCCACCCACAATCGGATCGCAGCTAAAGTCGCATGGCAAGAGCGCGTGACCAAGCAAGTTGCGGCTGAACGTGCTCGACTCAATGATGTAGTGCAATGGCTGCGGGCCATAGGCTATCCCGTACTTGGCTGCAATCTCGCTGATGTCCATATTGCGACGTTCAGGATACAACGTCGACGTCTGCATGCTCTCCAGCTCCTTTGCTGCACCATCGTAATTGCTGAAGTGGATCACACCGCGGAAGTGCAGCAGTCGTTGGTGGAGTGGCGGTTTGTGCTGGTCCGCAAACTTGGGAGTAGGGGGCGTGCCAGCGAGGATGAGGCATCGCATGGCCAGCGAGTCGCCACGGTTGAGCACCATGCGAGCCAGCAGCAGCTTCACACGCAGTAGAGTACGCTGTGCAACGCACCAGCCGCGGCGGGGAATCCAATAATCCGATAGTCCGCCTGAGCTCCACCACGCCGGCCATTGTCCGCTCAGCTCTGCCTCGTACGCAGTCCACCAGTTGCGTGCGGCCCTTGGAATGACACAGTGCTCTTGGCACGGCTCCTCCATCCCGGCACCGCATAGCTCACACGGGTCTTCGTCAAACTCCTCTCGCGCCCGCGCGTTTTTGCACGGGTAGCAGTTGACGCCGCCGCCTCTCAAGCGCCACATCTCAGGCGCAAACTCCACGTCCAGGTACTCGGTGGTACCATCGACAATGCAACGCAGTGCATGTAAGAAGCGCACCAGCTCAGTTTTGTACCCAACCCACTGGAATGCATCGGTGTACCACGTCTGCTTCCATTCGCACGGCCGCATTGATTGATAGCACACGCGTTTGACCGGCGGCTGCGCTGACCACTTGTGGTTGTCGTGGTCGGCGTTGCGTGGGTCTAGAAGAGGCAGCTGTAGCCGTTCTGCCTGTGCCTCGGCACTCTCATCGAACCGTGGCTGTGTCGTCAGCGCGGGCATAGCATCGGCCAGTGAGCTCCAGAATCTTGGCGGTTTGTCGGTGAGCCCGGCGCACGTAAAACTTTCTCGTGGCACCCATGGCATCGGGGGCGGCTGCGGTGTGGGATGCAGCGCAGCTGGGTCGGGTAGAGGCTGCTGCTGATCCGGCGATTGAAGCGGGGGAAGTGGTGGGAGAAGCGGCTCGGCCTGTGCGGTGAGGTCAGTGCGCCTGCCCCGTTGCGTCCAGTCACGGACCCATGCGCCCTGCATCACGGCAACTGCTCGCCACTGAGCGTCGTCGAACTCGATCGCCTGCCACGGCCCCGGCAAGATGCATTCACCCCACTCACCAGCTTGGCCCACCTGGTACGGATAGCGCTGCTTCCGGAGCACGATGATCGCCTCAAGGGCGCCGCTGCTGCACCACAGCGCGCAACGGGACAGCAGCTGCTTGTTCTCTCCGCACTCCTTCAGCCGCAGCAGCGCCGCCTCGGTCGCAGGCGTGAGCGTAATCCGGTACGTGGTATGCCGGTCCGGCATATGGTGACCCCAGAGATGTCGCGATGCGCTTTTCCCCGATCATTTCCGTCCGTCCAATCGAAGGAAGCGCTGGATCGCCCATGTTATGGTGTTTACCAAACTTGTTTTGAGGTTGTCGTATTTGGGAGCCACGGTCCTGCTTTTGTTTTCACGGGTTACGAAGCTGAGTACCGCGTCTGCGACGCGGGCGCCTTGCGGGCAGAGCCCTTAGTCCCCCTTTATCTTGCGCGGTCAAAAATTGTGTCCTGCGGAGGCAGGGAGCGACGCGACGCGGCTCGCGGGCGCCTCGGTCTCGGCCATTGGAGGGGGGCTTGCACGCACTTGTTTGGAAGCTTGCTGGTACTTTTTGCTGGTACAGAAGAATTCTCCCGACGACAGCTAAAGAGTAGGGCTCCCCATGCGGGAGACCTCCCTCTGGGGGGCCTTGAACCTCTTTAGCTTGTGAGCCAAGTCGAAGCGCATTCACACGCCTGTCACAGGCGAGCCGTGACCGTGAGGTGGACGTTTCCGCAGGCGAAAAAGAACAAGACGTTTAGACGAGAGAAATGCTCTGCGGGCCCGCCCGCCGCCGACTCTTGACACGCCCCCCCGGGGGCCAGCCAGTTGGACGCCATGTGTGTATATGGCTCCCAGCGTAGCTAGCTGGGACGCTTCCAGCAGCAGCTGGGAGTGCTCCGCCGCCCGCGTCGGGGTCTTCTCGCACGGCGCCGGCGGCCTCCCCGGCCCGAGCTCCGCCGCGGCGGTCGTCACCGAGGCGAGGATCGCCGAGCTGCACCGTCTCGGCGTGCGCGGTTTCGACCTCGACCTCTTCTTCCCTCTCGACTCGGCCGGCGCGGGCAGCCGCAGCCTCTACGTCGGCCACCCGCGCAGGCTGCGGCAGGCGTGGGCGCGCTCTCCCGCGCTCGCCACCAGCCGCGAGTGGCGCCGCAACAAGTCCGTCTTTGGCCTCACGTCGGCGGAGGTGCTCCGGGCGTCGGGCGGCGCGCTGCTCTCGGCGGACGCGCTCCTCGCGCTCGCCTCCCGGCTGCCCGGCCTCACCCTCGCGCTCGACCTCAAGGGCGGCGGGCAGCAGCCGCGGTACGGGGCACACCTGCTCTACCTCGCGCGGCAGGTCGCCTACCGCAACCTCACGGAGCGGGTGTGGCTGTGGGCGGGCACGGCCAGCGCAGCAAAGGCGGTCCACCGCGCCCTCTCGCGCAGAGGCGACGCCCCTCCGAGGCTCCGCCTCGGACGCACCATCCTCGACGTCGGCGCGCCTCGCCTCGCTCACGGCTCGGAGCCCGACTGCGCCGCGGCGCTCAGCGCGGCGGAGGTGCGCTCCTTCGCCTTCCTCGGCCCGTCGCTCCGCTGCACCAACGCGGCGCTCGTGTCGGCGCTCGGCCGGCTGCACGTCGGGCGACAGCTCCTCGTATGGGTGGTGGATTCGCCGGCCGAGCTGTTTGAGGTGCTGGCGCGCGGCGCGAGCGCGGTGGTGTCCAACGAGCCGTTGCTGCTGCTCGCCGCGCTGCGCAACGCTAGCGATGACGGGCGAGTCCGGCGCCAGTGCGGCGCTTGACGCGAGGAGGTGACCGCCGGGACTACTCTCACTCGTGTGATTGTGTGTGTGCGGCCTGGGGGTGCCAGCGTCCGGCTCCGCTCCGGGCAGCGGGCTCCGGCGCCCTCTCAGATCAGAGCGCGCTCAGTCGGAGATGTTCAACTCCTCTCAGAAATTTTCATTTATTTGAGTGTATACCCGGGACTACCCGCCTATTCCCTCTCTCTCTCGGTCTCTCACGGTCTCAGTTTCTCTCTCTCTGAGCGAGTGTGTCTCGCTCGGGACTCGCACTCGCGGCTCTCTCGACTCTCGGCGCGCGCGCGCCTTCGTTTTATACGATTATACCCTTCGTTTACGTTTTTGTTTCTCTCACGTCTATCTCAGCGGATCAGACAGATACGAGACCGCATCGTCTCTCTCTCATACACAGCCATACACAGCTGATCCGGGCTCTCTCTCGTTGTGCAGTCGACATCGTGAGACTCCCCCTACACAGTACAAAAGGCGCACGCGAGCGCGGCGCTCACGGCGCGCGCCAAGCCGGATGTACACACGACCACCTCGTCGAGCAGCGCGCGCAGGCCCGCGCCGCCCGCGTCAGCCGCGGGGCTCTAGGCGCTGGCCGCTAGGCGGGGCTCTGCATCGAGCGCACGCCGTGCGGGCTCATCGCTGACCGGCGCGCGTTGTCGCTCAGCGAGTTGCGGAGCGAGCCGAGGCGGCGGAGGGGCGGCAGCGGCTCGACGGTCGGCTCGGTCAGGGCGGGGGGCGGCTTACGCGGCCAAAAGTTCGCGTTGCCGGGCAGGAGGTCGAGCATGGCCATCGCGCAGGGGATGATGACCTTGGTCGTGACGAAGCAGTCGATGAGCACGCCGACGCAGAGGTGGAAGGCGAGCTGGTTGATCATGGGCGAGGCGCCGATGAGGAGCGACCCGAACGCGAGGAACATGATGACGCCGGCGACGCAGATGATCGTGCCCGTGTGGCGCAGCGCCTCGACGACCGCCTCGCGCGACGAGTAGCCCGCGTCGAAGTGCTCGACCACCGACTCCATGAAGAAGACGTCGTAGTCGAGGCCGAGCCCGACGAGGATGGAGAAGGCGATGCACGGCGTCATCCAGTACATCGCGTGGTGCGCGGGCGGGTCGGGCGAGGTGAGGAAGGGGCGGATGCCGAGGCTCTGCAGCACGCCGTGCTGGTAGACGAGCACGCCGAGCCCGAACGTGACGAGGAGCATCCAGCTGAGGCAGAGGACGGCGCGGAGCGGCACGACCGCGGAGCGGAAGGCGGAGCCGAGCACCGCCATCACGATGAGCAGCGTCGCGCCGATGACGCGCGGCAGCGAGGCGAAGGTGTCGGCGGCGCCGTCCATCTGCTCCTGCGCCATGCCGGTGAGGTACATCTCTCCGAGGACGGTCGTGTCGCCGGGGAAGGACGGGTCCGAGACCCACACCTCGCTCGCCGCCATCGCGTCGCGCACGGCGGCGATCCACTTCTGCCCGACCGTCGAAAAAGGGTCGAGGGTCGTCTTGACGCGCACCTGCGGACAGCCAGAGGGGAGAGGTCAGCCCGAGAGGAGCCCGAGAGGGGCCCGAGAGGAGCCCGAGAGGGCCCGAGACCACGCGAGGCTGCTCGTGACCGCGCGCCTTGGTCGCGGTGCGGTCCTCGTTTGAGAAGCCGTTGACGAGGAAGTCGCCGTACTTCTTGGCGAGCGGGTTCTCGAGCAGCGAGATGAGGAGGGAGGTGCAGATCCCGCCCTGGATCATCAGCCCCGAGAAGTCGGACGCCTTCATCGCGAAGTTTTGCAGCGACGCGTCGCCCGCCTCGCGCCCGTGCGCGCGCATCACCTCGGTCACGTTGGACGCCATGAACTTCATCGCGTGGCACGACGCGTTGAGCCAGCCGCGGCTGGTCACGTCGCCCGGGTTGGGCGGGAGCACTACGATGGTGTTTGGGAAGATCTGGGAGACGCCAAAGTGGTCCTGCACCTCGAGGAAAGTCTCGGTGAGCGGGTCGCCGCGCGGCAGCAGCGTCTGCAGGCCCTCGATGTACTCGAAGTCGAGCAGCGGGATCACGAATGGCACCGCCACGCCCACCAGCAGCGGCACCACCACCAGCCAGCCTCGCTGCGAGAGGCGGCCGACCGACGCCCACAGAGACCACGGCCTCGCCGCCGCCGACCCCGCGTCCGAGTGGGAGCCTGCGGAGCCCGCCGCCGTCGCCGCCGTCGCCGCCTCGAGCGGCTGCACCGCCGGCGCGTCGGCGGCGGGCGCCGCGGTGGGCGCGGCGGCGGGCGACCAGGGGAGGCCCGAGGCGCGCTCCTGGCCTTGGCCGAGCATTGGTTCGCTTCCGTCGCCGGCGAGCCTGCGGTAAGGTGCAGCGAGGTGAGTACGAGTGCTGGGAGGCAGAGGGAGTCGGCAGAGCCATGCCTTCTCGGGTGCTGGGTGGGAGGAGAGGAGAGTGTGCTCCGCTTCTCCTCCCACAGTGTGTGCTCCGCTTCTAGGGGCGGCGAGCCGCTTCGGCGCGGCGGCGAAGAGGGCGATGCCGTCGGCGGAGAGGCCGAGGCGGCGGTCGGCCGTGAAGAAGTCGGGGAAGGAGAGGAGGAGGGCGGGCGTGATTGTGAGGCCGCCGACGATGGCGAACAGGACGGTGAAGGCGGCGGCGAGGCCCATCGTCGAGATGGTCGAGACGGGGATGAGGAGCATGCCGAGGAAGCAGAGGCAGAGCGTCGAGCCCGAGATGAAGACTGTGTGCCCCGACGTCTGCAGCGTGACGAGCAGCGCCTGCTTGACGGAGGCACCGGCGCGCTTCTCCTCGCCGAAGCGGGTGAGGATGAAGAGCGAGTAGTCGATCGACATCGCCAGCCCGGTCGCCACCATCATCGCGGGCGCCTCGGCCGACACCTGTTCGCGCCAGAGACGCGGTGTGAGCGGCGCGTCTCAGCGCCACCTCGCGGCCCGGCTCGGCCGCCGCCTTCATCGAGAGCGAGACGGGGTACATGATGAGGACGGAGGTGGCGACGCAGAAGGCGATGTTGATGAGGGTGATGATGAGCAGCCGCAGGTTCTTGAAGAAGACGCCGAGCAGCACAAAGGCGGGGATCGCGGTCAGCGTCGACAGCAGCATCGCCGTCTCCACCCCCTCCTGCACCGTCGCCATCACCCCCGGGAAGGAGACGCGCTCGACGGCGAGCCCAGACGAGGCGGGGTAGGCGTCGGCGTAGTCCTTTAGCGCCTCCATTGCGCTGACCACCGGCGCGGACGCCTCGTTCTTGCCGACGATCTCCGCAGTCATGTCCTCGCCGTGGCACGCCTCGATCTGCACCAGCATCAGCGTGCGCGAGGCGTCCGAGTCAAAGAGCATCGGCCGCGCGACGCGCGAGATGATGCCGTCGAGCACGTCGTGGATCGGCCGGTCGTGCCGCCCCTCGTGCGACTTCTTGAGCCCGATGTCGAAGTAGGAGAGAAAGGTGTACCGGCAGTGCACGTCCAGCTCGCGCGCCGCCACCCCGCTGAGCTCGTGCGACACCTGCGCCGCCTCTGCGGTGAGTGGCGTCGGCGGCGGCGCGGCGACCCACCGCTCGAGCGCGCGCGGCTGCTCTGGCTCGAGCGTGGAATTGACGTGCGGAATCAGCGGCGACCCGTCACGAGACTTGACGAGGACAAGGAGCTGCACCGGCTCCGGCGGAAAGTACTGCGCATAGATGCGGTGCGCGACCCCGGACGGCGAGGTCGGCGTCGGCTCCACACTGAGAATGAGCGCGCTGGTGAAGGGAAAGTAGCAGATCCCGCCCACGAGGGTCGCGACGAAGGTCACCGCACCAATGGCGCAGCGCGTCCTGCTCTGCTGCAGCCTGTCCAGGAAGCGCTCCTCCATGACGCCCATCGGCGCGGATTTGTGTCCTGCCGCAAGGAGAGGCGGTCGGCGTCGCGCGGCGAGAGCGGGACGGGGATTGCTCGCTCGGCGAGCCTGTCGAAAGGTGCTCCGCAGCGATGAGCTTGAGGAGGTCAACTTGGGAGGGGGTCCCTGAGTCCGCCATAAAAGCGATATGGCGGTGGAGTGCTCTCTACTGCCGCGGCGCCCCTGTCGGTTCGGAGGCGCCCGGCGGCCGCGCGCTTGGTGCACTGCGGAACTGGGAGTTTACCTTGTGCAGGGCCTTCTTTCTCTGTGAATACGTATTCCACGTATTCCAAAACAGCTCTAGAAAGAATGGGTAGTATTTGTATTCAGCGGGGCACGCGCGGAACGCGCGTGCCGACTGTGTATAAGCTATAAGACTGTAAGCGCACGCGCGCGTGCTGCGTGCGTGCGCGAGCCGCGCGCGTGCGTGCGCGGCGGCGGCGGCGCGCACCGTAAGGAGGTCCCGCGCGTGGCGTCCGACGTGCTCACAGCAGCGTCCCCACCGCCCACCCCCCCACACCGCCCCTGCCGCCGCCGCGCTTGCCTCACATCTTGAGGTCCTCCTCGTCCGAGCTGTCCGAGTCGAAGTCGGTGTCCCACTTCTCTCGACTGCCTGCTTGTAGCCGGCGGTCTGAAGCTTGCCCTTGAGGTGGAGCGCCTCGTGGCAGTAGACGCGCTTGTCGGCGCGACGGCGTGGCCCATTTGCCCGCGCGCCGTCGTCTTGATTGCCCCGTAGACGGACCAGTTGCGCTCGGCCGCCGACGCGCAGACCGGCTGCGCGAGCACGCGGCGCGCGACAGCGGAGATGTGCTGAGGGGGGGGGGGGTGGAATACGTTGGTATTCCAACGTATTCCAAAAACTTTCCCAAAAGCGAATATTCCGTATAAAATTTTCTTCGCTCCGCGTATTCACAGAGTAGGGCCCCCGTATACAGCGTAGTACGTGTCACTGCAACACGGTATGCTACCCACTCGGAGTGCATAGCTTCGCTCCTAGGCGCTGCGAGGCGCCGGCGGCAAGCACGTACCACCACACAGCCGTAGTCGATGGTTCGATGGAACCAATCCAACCAAGGTCTCTCTCAGTTCTCAGATCACTTCTGCAGCTTGAGGTGCGAAAAGCAGGCGCTCGCCACGAAGGTGAGCGCGAAGCCGACCAGCTGCGCGGTGGACCACGTGCGCAGCTCGCCCAGGAAGAGCGCGGACAGGAAGAGGAGCAGGACGATCTTCACGTTGCCCAGGATGG